TAGGCTTCGGGCTGCAGGTAGAGTGGGGTGCGCGGCGAGGACGGCCGGCCCTTGGGTGACAGTGGGCTGTACGGGTGCAGGGTCGGGGCACTCTCGGAGCGTCCGAACGGTGAGTCTGCGCTGTCGGTGGCCGCCTTCCGCGGGGAGCCTCGGCTGCCGAAGGACTCGGGGACGGGGCTGGAGCTGTACCGGGATTGCTGTGGGGAGACCTGGACAGACGTTGAGGGATCAAAGGAGACATTCGTGGGAGGGTCACCGAGAGTAAGCAAAGGGAACACTGAAAGTGAAACCAGAAGCCAGGCCTGGTGGTACACACCCTAAACCCAGGCTCGGGGCGGCTGGGGCAGGATTGAAGTGTGAGCCCTTCCCGGGCAGTTTAGGGAGACCCTGTCTCGAAATTTAAAAAAAAAAAAAATCTTTTTAAGCAAAACAAAAACCGGGGATGTGTAGTTCCATGCAAATGCCCTAGGTTCAATCTACAATTTGGCAAAAGAAAGTTACCCCGAGAAGCTGGACCTAGGCAGAAGTTCAGGCCGTGAGTTTAGGTGAGGTGTTGGTGAATGAGTGGAGCTAACCCTTCGCGGTCCCCTTTGGGCGACTTAGTTTTAGTTTTCAGTTTGTTTGTTGAGACAGGGTCTTGCTATGCAGTTCAAGCTGGTCTTGAACTCATGATGTAGCCCCGGCTCACCTTGAACCAGCAGCGATCCTCCTGCCTCAATTAGACATGGGCCAACATGCCCAGCTCTTTGTGCACTTAGGAAAAGACCCCTTTGCACACTGGGGTCCTGTTAGATAGCCATCTCTAAATGTCCTCGAAGACCCCACAACCATAAGGGGCAGCTGTGTTTGAAATCCACACCTCGGGACGTGGTGAGAAACTCTTTGGGGGTACGGGCGGGGCCCAGCTCACCCTAATGGGGGCTCCGGCCTGCGAGCCAGGAGGCGCTGGTGAGTCTGACCACAGCGACTCCAGCTGCTTGGTCAGTTCGTCCACCTTGGCAGCCGCGGTGTCCAGCTCCATCTGCTTCAGATCCATGTGCTTCATGGCCAGCGCTGCGGGACGGAGGGGCGGGGCTGGGTGAGCAGGGAGCCTAGGGCTGGGTCCCGCCCCTCCGGGCCCCGCCCCTCCCGCAC